CCCCAAAACCCCAAAACCCCAAAACCCCATAATGCCAAATTTAGGCATATTTTTATCAATATAAATTAGTGGATGATAATATGAAGTTTGAGCAAAATAATAAAAATGTTGAAGAAAAGTAGAAAATTTTCTATTCAATAATTGAATAACTTGAAGCATATAGAAGTATGCAGCAATAAAAACACAAAGAGATAAATACATTTTAGAGTAAGAAGTTAAAGAGAAGTGATTAGTTCTTATGAAGTATGAAATTATAAACAAGGAGATTGGAAATCAAAAATTAATGATGAAGAGATAGCTTGGTGAGTATGAGTCTAAGATAAAGAAATTAATAATAGAATTTGAGGGAAATTCTAAAAAGCACAATAAAGAATTAAATAAACTGCATGAACAATACATAGGAAATAAGACTAATGAAATGGTATTAAAGTAGAGGATTAAGCAGTATAAGATGGTTTAGGAGACAGGATTGTAAGGGTAAAGTAAGGCCGAGAAAGAAGTCCACAGATTAAGACTTAAAAATGATGAACTTCTAGAGAGAGTCAAGTTTCTAGGCTAAAGGTATAACATTCTTATTCATAGAATGGGAGCATCATATGATGATTTCACTGCTATCTCTGATTTTATTTATGAGATAAAGTTATCTTTATTACAACTAAGAGGATGATGAGACTGATAGATAATGGAAGAATCCTTCAAAGAGAAAACAAAATTAATACTAAAACATATGCACCAACCTAAGTACTACTGACTTGATTAAAAGTAGGTCAAAAATTATGACTAAGATGAACAAAAAATTATTATAGAGGGTACAGTAGACTGCAGTAAAGAAAAGATGAATCTTATCTTTAATTCAGTTTTATATTAAGTAACAGTAGTTAATGCTAATAGTTCTTTCGGATGATGAATATTAAATGGTGGAGAGATAGAGGAGTAAAAAGAAATTTTCCAACAATAGCAAATAATTTACATGAATTAATAGCCTGTAAATGGTGTTATAATAAGGGAAAAGACTATTGAATAAAGCGAAAAAAATAGAAATTAGAAAGCAAGCTTTTAAGTGCAAATAGTCCAATTAACCGTATCAATATAACAACAGATAAGACTAAGGGGATGAAGAGGGGGATAATCACTCAGACTCTGAGGATCTCCTAAAGATTAACATATAATATTGAGGGAATTTTGCACTGTAAAACGAGTTCATTAATGAGCTATTCAATTTAGGGAAAATTAATAATGAATCAGATCTAGATGAATACTAGAATTTACTGAACTCAATTTCTGCTCTGTTCTATACAAATCATAGACTGAATGATGTGAAAGTAATGTTTAAAATGCAGAGAGAAGTATTAATAAAAACTTAAAAAGATAGAGTATTACAAGAGTAATATGTCTTTGAGAAGAAGAAGAAATAGTAACTGTAGCCAAAGGAAGAAGGCAGAGCAAAAGTTAAAATGCAACCTCTAACTGGAATTCAAATTAATACAAAATTGGAAAATCAAGAATTGTATCAAAATTATCAAAACTAAAATTAGCAAGATCTGATTGATGAAGATTCTCCTTAAGAGATATAGAAAGACCACAAATTAAAAATATAATCATTCATATTAAGGGAAGTGGTATCAACTCATTAAAAGATGAAGGTGAAGACATGATTATTGATAGATAAGCTAGGAAATTCCTTGAGATACTGTAGCAAGAAGGACCTTATTCTAAGTAAATTGTAAACTACCCCTATCCTTAACTGCTATTTTAAAGAGGCGATGATGAAGACATTGATTTTTAGGAAGATAATAATAATGGGGAGTAGTCAGATTTGCTTGATGATGAAAGTGATATCCAAACCTAATTATAGTTGAAGGTGGGGAGTCTTAACAATGAAGACCTTTATACGATATTTAAAATTTTGTCAAAGACAAGGAAGCTCAATTATATATCGAATAAATAGACAAGTTTGGTAATCTCTATTTGGTAGAAGCTAATCAGTATAATGACTATGGAGATAAAATTGAAATGGACTGTTAGCTAGTCAATGTTATAAAAATGTTAAATGGAAGATAATGAGTTCTTTAATATGATTGAGCAAGAGGCAGCTGCTGGAATAGTGTGAGGCTTTTAAGTTGTGCTACACTAGAAGACCTCAACTATCATTAATAGTAGTTAGAGCACTAGTCTTAAAGATAATTTTATTGTTAAATGAAATAAGATAAAATCCCACTTGCTTTAATAGTTGAGAACCCACAGCTGATTTAATTTAAACCTAATTTTCTCAGAAAACCTTAACTTAGTTTAAATAATTTTTAGTATTCTAATTCTCTTAATTAAATATGTATTATGAATAAATATGAGAGTTATACATTATATATATCTTAAACACACAATATGATCTATATTTATTTGAGAAATTAAGCTAGATAAGCTAATATTGTGACAAGCACCAAAGGCAACTTAGTTCATCTGTAAGATTTTTGGAATCTTGCTCTGGCACCGTTACCTCCGAACTTCTTTGGTTCACATCTTCTTGGGTCAGTAACGAGGAGAGTCTTGTCGTATTGAAGGAATATGTCCTTAAGTTCTCTCTTTGATTGCTCATCGTGATATTTTTGGTAGTAAGCGAGAAGAGCCTTGGCAATAGCTTGTCTGATTGCTTGAACTTGGGTTGATGGACCGCCACCCTTAACTCTGCATCTGATGTTGAGGTCCTTGAATTTGTTACCACCGACCAAGAGAATTGGCTCGTAAACCTTGATTCTAAGGGCCTCTGGTTCAACGAGGTTGAGGGCTCTGCCGTTTACTCTGATGTATCCAGTTCCGTTGGTGCAGTATGCCACAGCTGTAGAGTTCTTCTTTCTACCAAAAGTTTGCACTGATTTAATTTCACTCATCTTCAACAAGGGTATGTGATCGTAGAAGCTAATAATAATAATTAATAACAAATCGCTATTAAAATAGTCATGCAAAAGAACTTTTATCTCCAAGTCATGGGGTTTTGGGGTTTTGGGGTTTTGGGG